AGAGAGAGAGAGAGAGAGAGAGAGAGAGAGAGAGAAAGGACTTCCATCCGATAGTTCACTCCCCAGTTGGCTGCAATAGCCTGAGCTGCGCTGATCCGAAGCCAGGAGCTTATTCCAGATCTCCCACCTGGGTGCAGGAGCCCAAGGATGTGGGCCATCTTCTACTGCTATCCCAGGCCATAGCAGAGAGCTGGATCAGAAGTGAAGCAGCCAGGACTAGAACCAGTGCCCATATGGGATGCCAGTGCTTCAGGCCAGGGCATTAATCCCCTGTGCAGGCTGCGGCCATCTGGGGAGTGAAGCAGTGGGTGGAAGACCTCTCTCTGTCTCTACCTCTCTCTGTAACTCTGTCTTTCAAATAAATAAAATAAAAATCTAAAAAAAAAAAAGAAAACATGTAGTAAATGCAAAATGTAAATCCTATTTTATCAGTAATTATAGTAAATATAAATATATTTAGCACTTCAAAGGGTAGGTATAGACAGAATTGATTACATTTTTTATTTTTTAATTTTATTTATTTTTGACAGGCAGAGTGGACAGTGAGAGAGAGAGAGACAGAGAGAAAGGTCTTCCTTTGCCATTGGTTCACCCCCAATGGCTGCCGCGGCCGGCGCGCTGCGGCCGGCGCACCGTGCTGATCCGATGGCAGGAGCCAGGTACTTATCCTGGTCTCCCATGGGGTGCAGGGCCCAAGCACTTGGGCCATCCTCCACTGCACTCCCAGGCCACAGCAGAGAGCTGGCCTGGAAGAGGGGCATCGGGACAGAATCTGGCGCCCTCGACCGGGACTAGAACCCGGTGTGCCGGCGCCGCAAGGCGGAGGATTAGCCTAGTGAGCCGCAGTGCCGGCTCATTTTTTATTTTTAAAAGATTTATTGGCTGGCGCTGCAGCTCAATCAGCTAATCCTCTGCCTGCGGCGCCAGCACACCATGTTCTAGTCCCAGTTGGGGTGCCGGATTCTGTCCCAGTTGCTCCTCTCCAGTACAGCTCTCTGCTGTGGCCTGGGAGTGCAGTGGAGGATGGCCCAAGTCCTTGGGCCCTGCACCCATGGGAGACCAGGAGAAGCACCTGGCTCCTGGCTTCAGATCAGCGCAGTGCGCCGGCCACAGTGCGGTAGTGGAAATTATTAATGTCTCCTTAATTTGTGAATGTAGGTTTGGTAGATACATAATTCTCACTTGACAGGTTTTGTGTGTGTGTGTGTGTGTGTGTGTGTGTGTGTGCGTGTGTTAGGAATGTGCCATACCATTGACTTTGGCTTCCATAGTGTCTGATTGGAAGTCAGCTGCTAATCTTATTGAAGCTGTGTGTGATGAGTCACTTCTCTCTTGATGCTTTTGAAGTTTCTCTCTGTTTTTGGCTAGAAATTATGATGCTTCTAGTCATCATATCCTACTTAAGTTTAACCTACTTGAGTTCATTGACCTTCTTGGATGTACAGAATAATATTTCTATCAAATTTTGGAAGCTTTGATCATTATTTCTTCAACTATTCTTTCTATCTCCTTCTTGCTTTCCTCTTCTTCTAAGAGTCTCCTTGTGTGTATATTAGTGTACATGATGGAACTTAATAGTCCTTGAGATTCTGTTCATTTTATTAATTATTTTCTTTCTGTTCTTCAGACTAGATAATCTCAAATATCTTAAATCATGTTTTATTATTTTATTTTATCCACTCACTCAAGTCTACACTTGAAATGTTCTAGTGAAATTTTCATGCCATTTGTAGTTTTTAATTATAGATTATCCATGGCCGGCGCCATGGCTCACTAGGCTAATCCTCCACCTAGCGGCGCCGGCACACCGGGTGCTAGTCCCGGTTGGGGCGCCGGATTCTGTCCCGGTTGCCCCTCTTCCAGGCCAGCTCTCTGCTGTGGCCAGGAAGTGCAGTGGAGGATAGCCCAGGTGCTTGGGCCCTGCACCCCATGGGAGACCAGGAAAAGCACCTGGCTCCTGGCTCCTGCCATCGGATCAGCGCGGTGCACCGGCCGCAGCGCGCCGGCCGCGGCAGCCACTGGAGGGTGAACCAATGGCAAAGGAAGACCTTTCTCTCTGTCTCTCTCTCTCACTGTCCACTCTGCCTGTCAAAAAATAAAAAAAATAAAAAATAAAAAAAAATTATAGATTATCCATTTTGTCCCTTTAGGTGATTTTTATCTCATTACTGATATTTTCAATTTCATGAGACATCATTCTTATACTTCCCTTTAGTTCTTTAGACATAGTTGTTTTCTTTTAAAAATATATTTCAAAAAGCTGGCTTAAGAGCTTTTTTTTTAAATAAGTCAGGTGACTAAACTTCCTCAAAGATAATTTCTATTGGCTGCTTTTCTTTTTCTTGTATATTAGCCATACACTCTTGTTTATTTTCATGCCCTAGTTATTTTGTTGTTGTTGAAAACAAGGCATTCTAAATATCAGAATCTTCCTTCTCCCTAAGGCTTATTATTTTGCCATTTGTTGTTGTTGTGTGTTTATTTAGTGACTTTCATGAACTAATGCTATAAAGCCTGTGCTTTTTGTTGCATGTGGCCTCTGTAGTCTCTGCCTATGTTAGCTTGTGGGGTTATTTGTTGATTGGATCAAAGTTTCCTTAAATGCCTGGAACCAATAAGTCTTCTAGTCTTTGCCAAGGAGCTTTGTGTGCGTGTTGGGGCATGCCTTCAACACTCCGCCAAGCAGTTTACAATTCCAGCTTAGTCTTCACTTCTTGCTTGCATAGGGTCCCAAGGTCAGCCAGAGGTAGATGCTTAGGGCCTTCTCAATCATGCACACAGTCCTACTCATGTGTGTGGCCTTTTTTTGAAGCGCCCTATGGAATTCCATTCTCCAGTGTTTTAAGTTTTGTAGTTAGCTTGTTTGTCCAAATTATCTTTCCCTCCAGCAGCTATAATGCTAAATAATTCTGTTTATTGTTTTTGACAAAACTCCCTAGAGGGAGTGAAAAAAGACTTCACAATGGTAACACTTTGAGCCAGGTCAAATAACAACAAACCTTGTGAGTGAGGCTTTCCAGGGAGCTGGCCGACAGGTCAATTAATGCCAATGCCCTAATAATGGAGCTTTGCAAGAGCTCCAACTATATTCTGACATCTCCAGTGGCTGCTAGGTTGTCAGTTAGCTCTGTGGTTATAGGCTATTGGTTTTCAGGGTTACTGTGAACTGGAGGACAGGAAATGGGAATAGGGCAAGTCAAAATGCTACCAAGATTATTCTCTTTATCAAGATGCAGTGTTTTAGTTAAAGTGATCATTTTAAGTGCATAACTAATCATAAAGATAGGAATAACTGTCAAAGGGATCACATAAATAAGACCAAGTGTCTGCTAATAACAATAGGTAGAATTAAAAAGGAGAGAATGATTTAACATGGGAAGCAGACTCGTAGAATGACAAACACCCTAAACAGCACTCTGGCCTCAGAATCAGCCCTTAAGGCATTTGGATCTGGCTGAAAAGCCCATGAAAGCATTTCAGGCATGGAAAGCCAAGACACTGTGGCAAAAAATGGCCTACATGAAAGATCTCTGTGAGTGAGATCCCAGTGGAAAGAAGGGGTCATCAAAGAAGGAGGTACCTTTCTCTGAAGGGAGGAGAGAACTTTCACTTTGCTTATGGCCCTGTCTAAATACTGACAGAGTTTGTGACTCAAAAGGCTTCCATAGCCTTGGCAGCTCATGACAAGAGCCTCAGGTGATCACTGACATCATAAATAAGAGTGTCAGTTGTTAAATCAACACAGGAGTCATTGTGCACTTGCTCCCCATGTAGGACCTCTATCCTTAATGAGTTGTACTATGAGAATTAATGGTAAAACTTGTCTTCAAACAGTACTTTATACTTTGTGTGTCTGTGTGGGTACAAATTGTTGAAATCTTTACTTAGTATAGAGTTGGTCTTCTGTATATAAAGATAATTAAAAATTAATCTTAATGAATAATGGGATAGGAGAGGGATTAGGAGGTAGGACGGGAGTCGGGGTGGGAAGATGGGTATGGGGGAAGAACCACTGTATTCCAAAAGCTGTAATTAAATAAAAGTTTTCTAAAATTTTTAGTGTTTTCCTAGAATAATTGTCCCTAGACTGATACAAAACATATGCTTAAATTAGGGTGATGGCAAATTCAAGAATTTGAAGTAGGGTTAATAATAAATGTATTTAGAGCTGCTGCAGGGCTAATGGATGTTAGAGCTAATGTGGCTCCACCAATAATATGTAGAAAGAGGTGACCAGCTATTAATTAATTTCCAGAGCTCTGAGGCAGTGGATTCTGACAATTTTTGCTAAATTTTTCCTTGCTTTTATGGAGAAGAGGACGCTTTGCAGATTCCTAGTCTGCTGTCTGTCATAACACAACCATACGCATTTTTTTGTTGTGACATCTCTTATAGTTTCTCTGCTGTTGTTAATAATCTCCATCCAAATACCACCAAGCATATACCTAGACTGGAGCAAAGTTGGGCTTATTGGCTCATTACAATGAGAGAGATCACACATCATGGGAAACTGAGAGGCAGTGTGTAGGAATGATTGCGAATGATTTGTAGGATGTGGGCTTGAGTCAGGTGATTTTGAGGAGACTCCAGGGAAGCTGGGAAATCTCTAAATTGGATACATTATAGAAGTGGGGGGAATTCTGTAATTGGATATTCTAACAAATCTCACTTAGAATGTGAGAAGAATGGGAATGGAATGAGAGTAAAGCTATGATTGGCAAAGAAGCAACAGCCACCCTTGTTAGCTAGGATGGGATGTGAGAGGCTGCAGAGTGGCTGCCAAAGATATCAGATCCTAATCCCTGGGACCTATGAGGTTTGCCTTACGTGGAAAACTGGGCTTTGCAGATGTGATTATTAATGATCTTGAGATTCTGGGGATTATCCGAGATTATCCAGGTGAGCCCTAAATACAATCACAAGTGCCTTTGTAAGAGACACAATGGGGAGATGACACAATTCTCTCTCCCTCCCTCCCTCCCTCCCTCTCTCTCACAAAGACAGAGCTAAGAGAAATTTGAAGATGCTGGCATTGGAGAGAGCAGTACTGTGATCTCAAGTCAAGGAGTGCTGGCAGTCAAGGAAAGCAGAAGAGGTGAGGAACAGGCTCTTTCTTCCAGTGACTGGAGTGAGCACCACCCTGTGGGTGCCTTCATTATGGTCCAGTGGTACTGATTTCAAGCTCCGGCTTCTGGAATGGTGAGTGAATACATTTCTGTTCATTTACTCTATTAGGCTTTGACAAAACAATTTGATGTAACAGCTGTAGGCCACCAACACTGGGGATATTTGGTCGTTTTGGTGGTTTGGACAGTGTCCCTAAATTTGTCTATATTCAAAGGTTATGGCCAGGACTGTGTCCCACCCCCCCCCGCCCCCGATTTCTATGTTATGTCCCCCACCACGTTCTTCAGAAGGTGCCCTGGTTTCTCAGTGGATTTCTGTGAACGTCGTAGTTGAGATCAGGTTAGTCGAGTGGACTCCAATCCAATGTGGCTGGTGTCAAAGGGGCAGATTTGGTCAGAGACACATGTGCTGGGAGGATGCTCTGTGTGACTGAGCTCATGCTGCCCCAGCCACGCAAGTGCAGAAACTCACACAGAGGCCTGGGAAGGCTCCTTGCTTGCACTTTCGGAGGAAGACGGCCTGCAGACACCTTGACTGCGGACTGCAGAGCGTGAATGAATTCCCTTCCCATGACTGAAGGCACTCAGCGTGCTGTGCTTTGTTATGGATCCCTAGCAAACGAATACGGTTCTGCTGGGACCAGAGTGGCTTTGCCTTCATCTTGCTCAGACACTCTCTTGATCCCAGAGTGTCCTTGTCTCCTGTGAGTGTTCTGTGAATGTCTCTGTTCCATAAGGGCATGCCAGGGCCCAGCTGTCAGTGCCAGGCAAGCCCCTCAATGTCAAGGGATGCTTTGCTTTGTCTCATCTGATAAATGTTCACATTGTGTTGTCTTTTTTTTTTTAAAGATTTATTGTAGAGATGGAGAGAGAGAGAGAGAGAGAGAGAGGGAGAGAGCCAGCGAGCAAACAATCTGCCATTTGCTGGTTCACTTCCCCAAGTGGCTTAGATGGCTTGGGCTGGGCCAGGCAGAATCCTGGAGCTTGGAGGTCTATATGGGTCTTCTACATGGGTACAGGGGCCCAAGGACTTGGGCTGTCTTTGGCTGCTTTCCCAGGTGCATTAGCAGGAAGCTGGATTGGAAATGGAGCAGCTGGGACTCAAACTGGCATTCGTACCAGTGTTGCAGGTGGCAGCTCTACCCGCTGTGCCACAACCCCCGGCCCCGCCTTACATTGTCTTTAAGGGCTTTAAACTCATTTAAAATACTTAAATCCTCAGTGCAGCTGGCATTTATGTGGGGTGTGCGATCTGAGGTCGGTGACATGAGGTTACGAGTGATTAAGTGGGTCTTGGAGAGGAACTTGCTGAGGTGTCCAGGGATCTGAGCTGTCCCCGGGGCACGTTGCTGTGGTCTGAATGTTATGTCCCCACCTCAACTTAGCACATTGAAATCCTCCTCTCCAAGGAGGCAAGGCCTTTGAGAGGGGATTAGGTCATGGGGTAGAGAATGAATGGGATTAGTTTCCTTATAAAAGAGGCCCAAGAGAGACCCCCTCTCCCCAGCCCTTAACCACATGAGGACACAGCGAGATGGTGCCGTGCCTGAACTAGGAAGCAGGCACTCAGCAGACACCAAACCCGTGAGCACCTTGTTCTTGGGGTTCGCGCCTCCTGCACTGTACACAGCAGACTGCTGTTACAACTCACCCAGTCCATGGAGTTTTCTTAGGGAACACTGACTGATGCACTAAGAGGCCCCATCCTTTTTAACTCCCCTCAAGCTGCTTTGTGTATAGAAATAGCCTCAGAACAATCATGGGTGCATTCAGGGAGTAGCTCCCGTCTCTCCTCCTCGTTGTGTTTGATGGAAGGAAAAGTGCCAGGCCCCTTAAGTTATAACGTTTGGTGGCTGTGAGTGCCTCCATCACTCTAGAGAGCCGGCTCATCAGCAAGAAGCCCTCCCCCAGCCCCACCTGCAGCTGGGCCTCAGTCGGCTATTTGGGTAAGTGCAGCTCGACATCAATTATGGATGAAGCTCCACGGGAGAGGAGTAAGTGGGCTGTTGTCTACTTTGAAAAATTAATGGGATCTGATTAATACGAGAGCACACTCCCTCTCCTCCCCGACCCAGAGAGCTCAGGGTGGTGGGGGTGGCCTGTGTGGGGTCAGGTTTCACCCAGAGAACCTGGCTCAGGAATCATCTGCCCCTCAGACAGGTGAGGAGGCCACGCTCTGCGAAGGTTAAGCAATCTGACCCACCTGGGAGAAGGAAACTCGTCACTTTTGATTTTTTAAAAAAGATGAAAACTTTTCTGATATGCACCATGAAAGCCATTTACAAGAGTCAAGCGGTGAATGGAATCTAACTCTCAAAATCTGTGGTCTCAGGAATGTTTTACAGCCTTGCAAAGCTCCTAAGGCTCTCAAGGAACTCTGGCTATGTGGGTTCTGTCTATTGATAGTTACCATATGAGCTGCTGAAATGCAGACATTTAAAATATTTATTTATTAGCTCATTTAAAATAACATTGCTTTCAACAGGCCTTTTTATCTTTCATGTTTTTCTTTATGAGCTATAGATGAAATTATACATTTTCCACTAGATCTGATTTTTATTGTAAAATGTACATAGCAAAGTTTTCCATTTTAGCCATTTTTAAGTACAAGATTCAGTGACATTAAATACATTCCCAGTGTTGTGCAACCATAACCTCTGTCCGTTGCCATAACTTTTTATCATCCCATATAGAAAGCCTGTACCCATGAAATAACAAGTCTTCATTCCTTTTTTTAAAAGATTTTTAAAATTTATTTGAAAGAGTTACAGAGAGAGATAGAGACAGAGAAAGGTCTTCCATCCAATGGTTCACTCCCCAGATGGCCACAACAGCCAGAGCTGTGCCAATCTGAAGCCAGGAGCTAGGAGCTTCTTCTGGGTCTTCCATGTGGATACAGAGACCCAAGTACTTGGGTCGTCTTTTGCTGCTTTTCCAGGCACATTTAGCAGGGAGCTGGATCACAAGTGGGGCAGTTGGGACTCGAACCTGCACCCATATGAGATGCCAGCGCTGATCGCAGGGCTTTAACCCACTACGCCACAGCACTGGCCCCCTTGTTCCTTTATCTCCCAGACTCTCTCTCTCTCTCTCTTTTTAAGATTTCTTTATTTATTTGAAAATCATAGTTACACAGAGAGAGGAGAGGAAGAGGGAGAAGGAGAGGGGGAGAGAGGGAGAGAAAGAGAGAGAGAGAGAGAGAGGTCTTCCATCTGCTGGTTCACTCCCCAACTGGCCACAACAGCCGGAGATGCGCTGATCTGAAGCCAGGAGCCAGGAGCTTCTTCGGGTCTCCCACGTCTCCCTGACTCTTATAGCTACCATTTGACTTTCTGTCTCTATATTGTGCTATTCCAGGTAGCTCATGTAAGTGGAATTCTATGTACGTGTCATTTTGTGACTGGCTTATCTCACTTAGAATGTCCTTAGATTCATGCGTGTTACAGTGGACTTTCCTCCCTCTGTGAACCTGGTAATATCCCATTGTGTGTCCGTACCGCAGCGTCCACCCATTCGTCCACTGGCGGCCATTTGGATTGCTTCTGCCTTCTTTTTCTTTTTTCTTAAAGATTTTATTTATTTGAGAGGTAGAGTGAGAGAGAGAGAAGAGAGAAAGAGAAAGGTCTTCCATCTGCTAGTTCACTCCTCAGATGGCCTCAATGACTACAGTTGGGCAGATCCGAGGCTAGAAGCCACAAGCTTCTTCCAGGTCTCCCACGTGGGTACAAGGCCCCAAGCACTTGGCCTCCTCCACTGCTTTCCAAGGCCATAGCAGGGAGCTGAGCTTGGAAGAGGAGCAGCCAGAATAGGAACTGGCGCCCATATAAGATGCTAATGCCGCAGGCAGAGGCTTAGCCTGCTAGGACACAGTGCCAGCCCCTGCTTCCACCTCTGGCTCTTGTGACTGCTACTATGAATATCGGTGTGCAGAGATGTGTTTGAGACCCTGATTTCAGTTCTTTTGATTCTGTACCCAGAAGTGGGATTGCTGCGTCATAGGTAATTCAACGTTTGAGCTTTCCAGGGACCACCACACTTCTTCCCATGGATGCTGCAGCAGTTTATATTCCCACCAACAGTACATAAGGGTTCCGATTTCTCCATGTCCACACCAACACGTTTTCTATTTGGCTCTTCTTGCAATAGCCATTCAAATGGGTGTTACCTTTTTAATTAAAAAAAAAAACTTTATTCCCCCCACCCCCAATTAGTGAAAAAGAGGCATTGCTTTATATTTTTCAAACCTCTGGCTGGATAAGCAGCTGGATCCTCAGATCTGTTGTGATCTCACCTGCCTTGTGGTCCCTGGAGGATTCCATGGGACAACCCCCCCCCCCCCCGTGACAGAAGGAGAGGAGAAAGGCACATGGCATCTTAGTACTGTTAGGAAAATGGTTTTGGTGCTGTGGGCCAGCTGTAACGATTGACTCAGGGTCAGTGTTGTTCTGTCTCTTCCCCCTTCTCCTGTCTCTGTCTCTTCCCCTTCATTATTTTGAAGCAAACCCACACTCACCAGTGACAACCAGTGTTGTGCCGGGCGTGTTCCTGCCTTCTCTTCTTGACAAGGCAGATCTGGACATAGTGGTCTGCTGGCTTACAGGGGAGTCCCAGGACCTCCCATGGACACCCAAATCCATGGGTGCATAAGTCCCTTATATAAAACGATGTAGCATTTGCTTATAACCTACATCTTCCTGAGTGTTTTAAATCAACCCCATCTTGCTTACAATCCTCATACAGCGTAAAGGCCATGTAAACAGTTGTTAAAGTGCCTCGGTCGGAGAATAATGAGAAGAGACGTGATGGGTTTTTTCCCCTGAGTATTTTCCACGCCCAGCTGGTTGAATCCATGAACGTGGAAGTTGTGCACAAGGAGGGCTGGCAGTATCCGGGTATTCAGTTGAGGAAGCAGGGATGTCGGGAGAGCCTCATGGATGTTAGGAGATTTTCCCAGGTCACCAGAGCTGAGGGCACACAGGACAGAGTCCCACTGAGATCTTGATGCTGCAGCCTCCTAAGTTTGACCTCAGGTGATGAGAGCTGGTGGGGCCACATCTGCCTGTCTTTTTCACA